GAAGTTCTCAGCAATGTGCACATATTATGAAACGCTTAGTCAGTGAAGGTTAATATCACGTGTTCTTGTTCATCGAGTAGCTCGGGCGGCCGCCAATGACGTCTCCATTCCTTTCGCGTGCCGTACTTACCCAGAAAATCGTTCGCATCAGAAACACGGATAATGTTTCTGCTCTCTCTAACAAACTTAGTGAAGAAGTCTAATCATAGGGTCGGCTGTAGTTCGGTTCCGCGTTTGCGTGTTTGGTCCATCTATCTTTCATCAATTGGGGTGACAGCCTTCGTCGCCTTTGACCCCTGGCTCAAAGTGTACCCGTGCCCCCTCCTTTACTTGGATAAAGCGGAGGGCACCTCCATTACTTTGTCGATAGCGCATTCGATGATCTAAGTACGCTTTCATTCTGCCTATGCGTAGGCCAATTCCCGAATCGTTATCAAGATAAGATGAACAGTCAAACCGAGGAGGTGGACGTGCAGCTTAATGTTTTTGGCCTTCTTCACTGCATTCCTAATCGGTATGCCGCCTTGTTCTCGCTTCCTGCTTAGCTTTCTAGCAAGGCAGCATAAAGTGGTGGTCATCAACCTCACTCACGTCCAGTTTCAATGTTCGAATATCTCAAAGGCGCTGAAAAGCTTTAGCGGAAGATTTTGCTCAGTATTATCCTCTCTCGTCAATGATGATTCTTTACAGAGAAAAGAAAATGTTTGATTTAAACTCGTCGTGCAACTCACAAATTTATCTTATATGCTATATACTGTATAGTGAGGAAAAATGTCTCATGCTCAAGGCTTGGATGAAGGCTACAATATGAACTGAAATAAAGGCTTCCTACCATTGACGAAACTATTCCTCGGTACATCAGTAAGCTATCACACCTGAATCCTTTCAGAACCATATTTCCTCGTATGACTGTCCTTCATCTAGCTTCCTTTATACTTCTTCAGGATAACCCTTGTGAAGAGTTTGCAGACAGCAGGCAATTTGCACGATGAATTTCGACAACGCAGAAGTCTCGTCTCCCTTTTTGCGCAACGCTCTTCGAAAAAGTTCTTGAGACAA